CGAAACAGAATTTATGGGAGGGAAGGTTTTGTTGTGTGTTTGATGGGAATGGAAAGGAATCATCCACTATGAGCTGCTTCTCTGCGGCCAAACTCTTAATTCGGGCCTGTACAGTCAGCAGGAAATAAGTATGAAATTACCAATAAGCGCCTAACTTTAGACAACAGGAAGCTAATTGTGTTCCATCGACAAAAACACCAGACCGCATACCTCGATATTGTTTCAACATTTAGTCCAGACGTCAGAGATGTTTATGTCTATGATGAATGTTTTGGCTTTTGAATAATTTGACCCAAGGGAGGCTGAGAAAATCGGTTGACCCAGTTTTACGCCAATAAGGATACTCCGTATTAATACAGGAGTCGAAAATTTCGAGCCATAATCATGAGAGCAACGAAATTTATAATTTTTTTCTTGTAGAATTCAATATTTCTGCTTTGAAAGAAAGCAGCATCTACCAATTCAATATCTACTTTAATTTTAATTATCTGATTTTTTTTTCTGACATAATATTAAAATTTCTTGAAATAGAAATATTTGTAAATAAATGGTAATCCATAGGAAAAATATTTGGAATAGACATTTTTCTTAAAATTTTGTTTTTCTAGTTCATAGAGCAATTAAGATAAACCGGTGGCAATCCTACCCAAAAACGTTATCAACCATAACACTTCTCAAAGCCCTTCAGCTTGAAAATTTATTGTATTAATTCGTTATTTTGACAATTTTCTTTGTTAAAATTTTTAAACGATTGGCTGATCTATTCTAAAAAATAAATTAAATTAAGTTATAAAAAATAAATGAAAATCTACTTTAATATAGCTTTAGAACAACAGCGTGATTCAATTATTTATTTCAAAATAAACAAAAAATATTATGTAATGCAATTATAGGTAAACATATGTATAATACAAATTCTATTTTACGAAAAAAAATCAATATCAATTTCAATCAATACTTTCTGAACACATAATTACATATTTATTCTGGTGCTAAATATAACTTCAACAATAATAAATAACTTTTCTCGGTTTCGTTACACTCTACGTATTTTTATTGATCAATTTCGTTTCGTTGATTCTCTAATTTATGAATTTTAACGGTGTTAATACCGACCCAAAAGAGATAATATCGCACATTGCATGTCATAACATCAGCAATTGATACAATGTCATGTCAAAACGCATAAAAGTGTTTAAAAATGTTTAAACGTTGGAAACAGTACATATAGACTATCACACATATAATTACATATCTACTGCTCTCATATTCAATACATTTAAGTGCGGTGCGCTAAATCGAAATGTGAAGGCAATTTTGTCAGTTTGCTTCATTTTGTCCATTAATTTGTGCGAGTATCCTGCTACATTGCGTGCGTTGCGTCACTGTTCGACGATTTTGATTTTTGCGATTGGATATTTTATATTCTACCATGGCTACGATGGCTTCAATATGTCACCAAAGGACAGTTTTGCAGTTGTTTTATTCACAGGTTTTCCAGAATACAAAGCAAATTGTATAATTTCACCCAAGAGAATTTTGTTTATATGATTTTTTTTATTTTATTTTATTCTATTTTGAATTTTGTTTTAATTTATTCAATTTTTGTCTACTTTATTTTAAATTTTTATTTTATATTATTTATTTAATCTCATTTTTATTTATTTTATTTTATTTTATTTTATTTTATTTTATTTTATTTTATTTTATTTTATTTTATTTTATTTTATTTTATTTTATTTTATTTTATTTTATTTTATTTTATTTTATTTTATTTTATTTTATTTTATTTTATTTTATTTTATTTTATTTTATTTTATTTTATTTTATTTTATTTTATTTTATTTTATTTTATTTTATTTTATTTTATTTTATTTTATTTTATTTTATTTTATTTTATTTTATTTTATTTTATTTTATTTTATTTTATTTTATTTTATTTTATTTTATTTTATTTTATTTTATTTTATTTTATTTTATTTTATTTTATTTTATTTTATTTTATTTTATTTTATTTTATTTTATTTTATTTTATTTTATTTTATTTTATTTTATTTTATTTTATTTTATTTTATTTTATTTTATTTTATTTTATTTTATTTTATTTTATTTTATTTTATTTTATTTTATTTTATTTTATTTTATTTTATTTTATTTTATTTTATTTTATTTTATTTTATTTTATTTTATTTTATTTTATTTTATTTTATTTTATTTTATTTTATTTTATTTTATTTTATTTTATTTTATTTTATTTTATTTTATTTTATTTTATTTTATTTTATTTTATTTTATTTTATTTTATTTTATTTTATTTTATTTTATTTTATTTTATATTATTTTATTTTATTTTATTTTATTTCATTTCAAATTATTTTATTACTAAATTTTGTAAGCAAAAAATGATCTGCATAGAGAACCTTGTTACTATTTTGTTATACTTTAAATATTATATAATTCCTTGCACTACAGTTCCGTCTCTACACTATAATTCCACTTGAATTTAAACAATTCCACACTGTTCTTCACTTTTATACTTTTTACACTATTGTGTATAAGCAATTGAAAATTTCCATTAGGGTGTATTTGTGGAATTGTTATGACATCAGAGAAGTTTGTCTTCATTAAATATTTTCCTCTTTTCACTGGACATGATAAAATCGTCGAATTAACAAATAAATTTTTATAAAAATAAAACATTATTTTGCTGATCATTCTGTTTGAGGTTAAGGCACAGAAATTCAATTTCTCAATTTTAATTGTTGAACGTTTATTCCGGGGATCGTAGCCGATAATGTGTATAAAGATCGTCGGTATGCTTTTTATAACGGTCGCCTGCCAATAGTCCGTGTTTTGTATTCTACTGATATCGCTGAAATAATCCTTATTGTAGCTGATAACATTGAGCGTGTACAGTTTTATACGCATTTTGCTTGAGAACTGCGAGTGCTAAAAATATCGACGAAAATAGTATCAAAATTATATAGATGCATTTATTGGTTTTTTTTTTTTTTTTTGTAAATGTAAAAACTATTTTACCACCACCGTTAGACCGCATATGCAAAAGCCAAGATAGAGAACGATATCCCTTCTAAACATCATTTTACATTGTTAACGTTCGGCGTGTATACAGCGCTTTGCGCTTGAGCTCAGTTTAAGGTTTGGTACGTTTTGTTTATGCTTATTGATTGTTAGGCAAACAAATTTATTTAGAAATTATTATTTTTAATCATGTCAATTATATTTAAATACTCCATTCAAGTTCAAGTTTTAAAGAGAATAAGGTTACACCAACATCAATCTCATATGTTTAATGACGGAGTTGATTCAATTCTGTGTGTGACAAAAGGCTGAAAATAATTCTGAATAGGGTTATCCGTTCGTGGTTTCGGATGTGAAGGGCTGTATATTGACATCTGATCAGCTTTTGTTTTAACACTTCACATGTCTCGAAAAGTTACTGACCGATTGGCTTGAGTTTCATCAGATTTTTTCTATGGACTGTTGGACAGCGACTGTCCTACTCGTGAAAAACTTATTTGCGATTCGATTTACTTGAAATTTGTTAATGGGAAGTGCATCAAGCTATCTGAAAATATATACATATTCATTGTTCGGTTTAGTTAAGTTTTTGGACGATATGCCTAAATGGAATATTTTTGTTTGCTAGAAATGAACCAGGAATAAGGGAAGCAAGTTCGATTTACTCGAAAGATAAATAATATTTTCCCTGCGGCAAAGAGATCACCGATAGATTAGCAGAAATGTATATGATTTAGGTGTAAGCATAGATGAATGCTGGCTTCAAGCGGTCCAGCTGTTGGTAGTAGAGGGCCGAATTGAGCGTTTGACCATAGGGGAGCAGTTAGTATTAGATGATTCCTTGCCAATCACAGCAAACACATGGTCTTGGCCACCGTCTAGGCCGCTTCCTCGAGCTTTGACCACGACCGTTTGCACTCGATGTTGTCGCAAGAGACCCATTTTTCATCGCCAGTCACCATCCGCTTCAGAAACGAGTCGATTTTGTTGCGAATCAGCAGCGATTTAGCAGCGATTCGCAGATAGAAATTCGGTCCAGCGTTTTTTTTTTTGCGTTAGTTCGTGTGGCACCCAAACATCGAGCTTCTTTTTGAATCCAAGGTTATGCAAATGGTTCCAAACGGTTTTCTGGCTTATCTTTAGTCGCAGATGGAAATTCGGTCCATCATGTTTTTGCCTTAGTTCGTGTGACACCCAAATATCGGGCTTCTTTTTGAATCCAAGGTTATGCAAATGGTTCCAAACGGTTTTCTGGTTTACGTTTAGTTCCTCAGCAATTAAATAAATGCTCACGTGACGGTCTGTTTCCACTATTTCCATGATTTTATCGCAATTTTCGACGAAAGGGCTCCCGCCGCGTGGTGCATCTTTGACATCGTAACTACCGGAACGGAACCCAGCAAACCACTTTTGTTCTACACATTCGTTTAAAGTATCGGGTCCATAAATTAAATTAATTCTTTTCAGCCGCTTTGGCTGCTTTTTCGCCTCGAAGAAAAATTGTAAAATCTAGGGAATTTTCTCTTTGCTGGTGTCCATCTTTGACGAGCGCTCACAACGTTTTGAGTCAATCAAACGAAAAACTGTCAAAGACAAGCTTTTAGCGCGAATGAACACGTTTTCAACGCCGTATGGTATGACATGACGCGACACGTAACACTAGTACTGTGGGCAATAACACCATCTCTTAGATAAAAACCGAACGAACTTTTTACTTTACCAATATTATTTTTCCTTTACAAATAGTTTTTAGTTTCGAGTTTCGACAGAAAAGCGCGTCGAGTGCTTAATAAATTAATTTTACATAATTACAGAAATTGAAAAAATTAATGAAAATTGAAATTCTAAATAATTAGTCTTACTAATTCATAAAAAAATAAATAATACAAAAAAACTGAAAACCAACACGATCAAAGCTAGTTTATTTAAACTATTTGAATGCTATGGTTTACACCGGACTCTTGTTAAGCCTCTTAATATTGCTTCCCATGGGTCTAGCAGCTAAGAACGTAAAATGAAATTAGAAACTAAAATATATATTGAATATTAATTTTATTTATTAATTTTCTACTCTAACCCAACATCTTCCCTTCTCCTTTTAATACAGAATTTATCGCACGGAACAACTGCACCGCCAAGTGTGATGCTGGAAACGTTGGATTGGAAAATCTATAATTTTGATTATGTAAAAAATTTTACAAAAGACGCAGTTGGACCACATATCCATGCTTTTGAACTGCTGAAACCTTTGCCGCAATTCTATATCGATTTCCTCCTAAAAGGCAGGCGCGGCAGTTCTTTCGGTTATAATATCAGCAACATGGATGGTTGTATTATATTGAAATCAATCGCCAACATCAAATTATTTTCCCAGATTTATGAACAAATTTTGGTCGAACGCAGCAGCCCTTTTGAGTGTCCACTTAAGCCGAAAGTCTATTATTTAAGAGATGTGATCTCTTACGGCTCCGCAGCTTATTTCGGCAGAAGTAGTTATAAGCTCACTGTGCAGATTAGGTTGGAAGAAAGTAGTTTGCCTATTTGTACATTTGAATGGAAGTATATTGTGCGGAGTTAAAAGGGAAAACATATAGCGAGAAAAGGAAGAGAATAAAATGTTGAAAATATTTGGAATATTCGTCTTAAAATTTTTAATTTTTTATTTTCATTGAGCAATTCAAATGTCGGTGGTCACCTGTATAAAAGTTATTCAACAATAAATTAAGAATGAAAGAAGAAATTCATATTTTTTTCTTGCTTGGCGTGGGCATCGCTTAAGCGATTATCACCAAGTCAGAAGTAGCTAACCCGTGCTTTCTCTGCATTGAGTGTTTTTCTCCATCCGTGACTTAGCCTGCATTACAGCTGTCTTCACAAGACCTTTCTCTTGGAAACTTATGAAGCACACTCATCCGAGCCTTATCATTGTTAAAATTCTAGAGCGGCAATAATGGGCGACTAGTGGATTTTGGTGATTGTTCGTCATAAGAGAGCTTAACTTTTCAATTTCCTGGCAAGAGTTGTACTGTGTTAGATTTTCATGCTAAATTGTTGTTGGTGCTGATTCCAAGGAAGACTAAATATCTACGTCCTCAAAGTTGTAACAGCCAATAATGAGGTAGTAGCCTCGGCTGAGACCGAATGGCTTGCATATGTTCTTTCCAATTCTGACGAAGCTTTCAAGCTTCTGGTATGCAGTTACAGTGGTGGGGCTATATTCAATTCCTAGTCTTCGTCACGCACCCTGGAAACCTGAGGAGAGCTTATAAATACAAGATGCGGTTTTCCAAACTGTCTAGAGCCTGCAGCTAATATATATAGGGGAAGCTTCAGTGGAGTCACCCCGATATTTTCAGTTTAGCTGATGTTTAAATGCAGCGTCAGTCCTCCAGACGAATGCATCGGTCTTAAGAGAAACGGTTCGCTATATAAATATGTGCTAAATTTAAACCTACTCGCCTGGCGAGGGTGTGTGCTGGACTTGGGATCCGCCACGTGGAAGAAATACCACCTCACCTAAAAGCAAGCACCTGGAATGATCGCTTAATTGGAGATGCACTCGTAAGACCAAAGTCAAAGAAGTGAAACGAGCAGGTTCCTGTGACATTTACTACAGCGACCATATAAATAGACACAAATTTGTTGATGATCACTCGAGTGAATGATCATCTTATCATAATCCGCCTCAAAACGAAATTCGCTGATTTGCGTCCACGCCTCGATGGCAGAAAAGGACAAAGAATGCCTTTGGTGAACGCCTGGAGCGTCCTCCGCCGCCACGATGTCAAAATTTTTATTGGCGCCCTTAACGTAAAAGTGAGCATAGAAGATATTTTCGTCACAAGAGTGAGATAGAGAGAGAGGTTTTGCGTAAGATTTATGGATCTTTACTAGTTGGAACGATGAGCTGTACGAGTTGTACAGTAACATTGATTTAGTTCAACGAATCAAGAAGCAACGACTATCCAGTCCATATGATGCATATGATCTTGTGGTGGAAGCAAACGAAAAAGCAGACCGGTCAATCGGTTGAAAAGACAAAGTGAAGAGGGATCTGCCTGCAACTTGACACTTCCAGTTGGTATTAAACAACGAAAGAAAGGAATGAATAGCGTGCTCATCATCGATTGCGGAATCGGGTTCGGTGTTTCGTTTTTACTGCCATTTGTCAGGTTAGAGAAGTGTTTGCTGCATAAATTTGATATAATCTGGGTATCGGTCGCTAGATCTCCTATTTGGATTATACAAAAGTAGAGAGGATTGACCGTCTTATGTCAAGGTGAAGGAAATTTCAAAGCGCACATATGCAATTGACTTAATGTCATGTAATCTCATTTCTACCACAACTGCATTGAGTGTAAAAGTCGGTCAATTTGTACTTACATATTGTTCATACATAATTATGGTTATCACTTATGATAATGATGTGCAATCGACCATCAAAACTGTCATTATATTATTCTGTATGTTTTACATAAGACGGAATGACTCAACAATACATTCACCCATCCACTCACTCCTCCAGCTGAATTTATCGATCAATGTCAATTGATTACACTGGTAAACACTTTTTTTCTCTCTGGAACTTTTTAATTATTTTTTTTTTTATGTCTCCGCCCAAAAGACCCACCCAACCTAGTCGCGACCTGCCTACACCAAAATCAGTTAGTGAGGTCGTTATTTTTGAAGACCACCAAAGGCCGTATGTTCACATGACCGCCACGCTATTTTTGGCGAACTTCAAACCCCTTTTCTGGCACATATTCGATGGTATTTCAGCCATAGCTGAATATTGGATTTCAATTTCACAAAAGTTAAAAGTCTATCCGGTCATAAGCACGGTCTTTTTTGTAGCCCCACAAAAAAAGGGCCAATGGCATCGAATCCCAAGTTTTCGGTGGCCAATTGACATCACCAAAATGAGAGATTATGGCATTACGACCGGGATATTTCTCTTGCAATAAAGCCATATTCGCGCCTCTTAGTTGGCATGTGGCACCATCTTAGTGAACAAAAAAAAAGTCGCTAATCATACGACCATAACGCTCCGAATGGACAGCGATAGTCACGTCGTTATCGTTATCGTTTCTCGACCAAAGAGCGCACCCGGGTGTACTATTACTATTTTATTTTTTTTTTTTTGATGTATAATGGTCGCTTTTCAACTGCTTGAGAATTCTTGGAGCCCCAAAGAGTGAAACATGTGTACGGCTCGCTGAAGAAATCTTTGTTCGAAAAATCATCTTCCACTACTTGTTGTTCAAGCACTCAATCGGCATTGTGAATCATCAGCTGGCTGCCGTTGTTGGGTGAGCTGGATCTTATATGGACTTTAACTAAAACAAAACATGTTTTTGAAGTAAATATTAAGTAAATTAAAAACCTGGTTATTTGGTATGAATTGAATGTTTTGTTATACAACAAAGAAAAAATGGTAGAAGTGACAGCTGTTTCGGAGATCATCACATCTCCTCATCAGATCTCTTATGGCAGGAATCGAACCAACGGATACTGACTTAACAGTCGCCAACTTCAGCCATATAATCTGTTGTTGTTTTATTCAATTCATTACATGTTTAATTTGACAGTTAAGTTTGACAGATGTCCAAATACAGCCCTGTACTTGAGACCACATAATAGATAAATTTGAATATTGAAAAATTTGTGTCTATTGTGTTGACTAGTGTTATGAGCCCCAGCAAATTATGCATACAAATATTCAATGCCTTGTTGTGCCATGGTGAGAAGGGTGAATTTTGAGTACTTTATGTAGCACAATTGAGAAAGTGAAAGTGATGGATTACGATGAATTTAATTAAGTTGCATAAATTGCGCTAATTGAGTTGAGCAGATTAAATTTAATGATATCAGTTTTGGAAACTGACTGCTCAGAAGAAGAATTTCGGCAAATGAATTTACAAAATTGCTCTACTGTGGTGATTTTGCAAATTACCTAAAGTGGATTTGATAAGAAAGAAGAAATTTAATTTTGATAGAAACTATAAATTTATAAAAATATGTTTGTTGCTCATTTGGCATTTTATTTCATAAAAAAAACTAATAAGATTATAAATATAATAACATTTTCTGAAAGAAAAAGTCAATTTAATTCAAGCAGGTAAGGTAAAGTTCAGCTGACTGGCCCATTGAATCTCACATAGACGATAATACACTCACAGCGTTGTTGGCGACTACTCCTTTCACGAACAAAGGAGTAATCCAAAATTAGCCACAATCCATAAAAAGTCTATGGCGATCCTAGAGGTGGACCATATAATCCTTCTTTGCATGGCACCCAAGAAATCCATGGATTACAGAGAAGACTATTGTTTAGAACCTAACCCAAAAACTAGTACACGGAATACCTCCAGTGGATTTTATTATGGATTATAGGCGAAAACTGATATTCAGACATAAATTTTAGTGTCGAATACAACTAGTATGGCGTACTGCCATTCGGAGGGCTCGGGTTCAAGTCCTGGTGTCGCACTAACATCCAAAAAGTAATAGAAATTTAATTTAGATAAAAAATTAATTTAAATTTTCTAATTACAGCCGCTCCTCAGCAGGGAATTTCCACCCTTCCAAGCGCATTTCTGAGATGAAAGTGATTAAGAGGCGAACTGATTCAATTTCTTTTCCACACATTTTCTGTATACGAGTAAAAATCTTGTTGTGCGCATGCAACTTCGTTTAGTAATTGTGATCGTTAAAACACGAGCAATCATCGGCTAACAACAGCGTAGCATCGATACGCAAGATGAGTTGGTGAGAAGTATTAGTTTCTGGATTAACCCAAATGTTCCACAGATTTTTCCAGGGTTCATGCGACCAAGCTACACTGCTATTACTCCTATTGTGTCTCTAGTTTGAAGAACATTGCTGTTCTTTTCGTAGACTGAAGTAGTCCTTTTTGGCCCCGATTGAATATTCTGTAGCCTTTCCGCGACAAGATTACACTCCACTGTCTCCAAACATTCCTTGCATTACCGACATTTGTTGTCTACAGTCAGACCTATATTTAATGCATGAGATGGTAGTAGGCAATGCCCCGTTTATACATAGTCATGGAGTTCGGTCTCTTTATCGTTAGCACAAAATAAGTGAGTTTAGTATTATTCCATTTTATATATAGTTTTAGCTCATTCCCAGAGTCTGTTCGGCCGACGAAGTGGTATTACTTCTGCTTCACTTCCCTGAATGGAACTGAAAGGCTCGTTATTAGGACCTGTTCTAAATAGGCACCCTTCTTAGCCAGTTTGTCATCGATCCCGTTACTTAGATACCGAGAGCTGAGGAGGGAAACAGGACAAATTTGCAGACAAAACAAAAGATAGGGGCAAAAATATATGAGAATGAAGAGGTTGGGAAGCCGTTCGACAAGGATAATACTAAAAATAATACGAAGAGATGCGGTGACTCATAAAAAGTTTCTATACCGGAGCAGGCTCTTGTAGGACACGAAGAGCATATTAAATTTATGGATAGCACACTTCTCCAACCAGCAAAAACCCCAATCGATGACCAAGGAAAAGACGTTTCATTACCAGACTATAAAGAAGTTCGAATAGCAAACGCCCGCTTCAAAAACAACAAAGTGGCTGAAGCTGA